TCAGGATTGACTGAGTTGCACACTATGATTTGTTGCACATTCCAAATTGCTTTGTAAAGCATTCCCTCTGCTTCCAGAAACTGAAGCAATTTAACTGCCTTTGAAATCAGATTATAATACTGTATATTGAAGAATTTCTGTTAAACATTTCAGTCCAAAAATAAGTCTTATGTACATGTTCTGAAATTGTGTGTTATTTGTGTTTAAACAGCGCCCTCTAAGGTTAAGAATTGCTAATGTATGTTACTGTATCACCATCTAACGCACCGCACCCTCTTGTGCAAACTATTAGAATCACATGCACTTAGTATTCCAACAGTTCCAAACCCATTGCTTGCCTTCGGTAGTGAAAGATAACACTTCTGCAAAGGAAACATTTTATTAATATCATACTTAAAAAGCTTACTAGATGATATCATAGTTTTCACCATTCTGAACCTGTCAACACATATTTAGACAGAAAGGAATATGGAAGTAAGAAAAAAGCCTATTTTCAGACAGAAAAGCATTTGGAAGTCAACAACAACATGCACTTATACAGCGCCTTCCACGCAGGTCAGCATCTCAGAGTGTTTAACAATGGCAGAGCCTGACTCTGAGCTGGGAGAGGGTGAGGGAGAGGTGACCAAAAGCACAGTCGAAAGGAAGGTATAAGGCAGGACTTGAAAAAGGAGAGCGAAGGGGCATGGTGGAGGAATTGACGGAGAGCGTTCCAAAGTTTCAGGGCCTAGTGGCTGAAAGCGCAACCTCCAATTCAACAGGAGAGAACATGGGGAAAGAAGCATCTGTTACTAATGTAGTGAATTAATTGATCATCTGTTGTTGATTTGAAATAAAAATACATATTGCCATATATTTAACATGACATTCTGTGGGTCAGATCAGGAATAATTAATTCAAAGTGCACAGGAATATAGAAAGCAGGAATATACAACCTAAATATTTCCAGATACTGTACATCAAACACCTTGTACATATGTCACCTTGCACAGCTCATAAAACAATGCTATTATCTAATCCAAGGGTAAAAATAGAGAATTAACACAAATAGTTATTGTTATTGTACAAATCAGGAATCACTCAAAGCGGAATGAGATGCCTCGATTGCTTGATAATGTTGCAAACTGTTCGTACAAATTACTTCTGTGCATCTTTTACTTAAATAGTGCTTTACTATTGATTAAGTCTACAGACATCAGGAAATTATCGGTCAAAGATCATTCAAAATTTGCTTAGATACATCTTTGTAATTACACACGTCAAGCCACCTCACATAGCTAATTAAGTGTAGCTAATTTTTGAAAAAGCCTTCACTGAATAACTGAACCATTAGTATTGTAATTATCTTCTGACAAGATTCAAAATGATTCATGATTAAACATTTAAACAGGAATTTCCAATGAACAACTTTGTAGCAATGAAGAATGAACATGACAATGGGTTAATGACTTATTAACTTATCTCCAATTGTTTATCCAGTTATATTTGATAGGCCAGAAATCTGCTGCATACTCACTCAGAGGATGTCTGCGAGGGGCAGTTATATATACAGAATTGGCAAACCAGAAGTGTAAGATATCAATTTAATCCACATGCTAGGAAGATGTCCTGATAGACATAGACATAGCTCTTATCCAAGACTTGATGTCTGTCACACATCAAGTCTTGGATAAGAGCTAACTTTCTACAGTTGAATGTTAACAAGACGGAGGCACTCATGATTGGCTCCCGTCAGCACATCCGCACCCCAGGCACTGGCAGCATCACTCCACCTCACCAAGCCAGTCCAGAACCTTGGCTTCTTGTTTGACCCTCAACTGTCCTTTCTACCCCACATCCGTGCTATGACCCGCTCTGCCTTCCACCACCCTTGCAACATCGCCCAGCTCCGCCATTGCCTCATCCCTCAGGCTGCCAAAACCCTCATTCATGCATTCATCACGTCTAGGCTCTACTAAGCCAACTCCCTACCTGTCGGCCTTAGCAACCCTTTCCTCCACAAACTGCAGATCATTCAGAACTCTGCAGCTCGTGTCCTCTCCCGCATCAGGCTGCGTGATTCTCCGTGACCGTCACCTGGCTCCACTGGATTCCCATCCCATGGAGGATAGAGTTCAAAATCCTCATCCTCACCTTCAAGGCTCCCCATGGCCTTGCCCTTTCCTACTTCTTACAAATAACTTCTCCTACTGGCCCTGCCCGGTCACCTGCGGGATACTCCAGGGCTCGATCCTTGACCCTCTTTTCCTTATCTATAAGCTCCCTCGGGGCGATGTCATCTTCAGACACGGGGTAAACCTACACATGCACATGCATGTGGATGACACACAAATCTACTTTGTCTCCTCCAGCACCAATTGGAGTCCTGTAGCTCAGTGGTTAGAGCACTCGCTTTGCAAGCAAGAGACCTGGATTCAATTCCCGGCAGGGCGAAACCTTGGGCAAGTTTCCTTACTCCACACGCCTGATAAAAAGATCCCTCAAAAAAAATAACAAATTGGTAATTTCAATCCACGACTGTTTGTGGGACACTGCTGTGCGATTGGCTGCCGCATTTCCCCCACAAATATACAGTCAATTCACTTTACAGTTTATTCTGTGAAGCGCTTTGAGATGTCTAGAAGACGTGAAAAGCGCTATATCAAATGCAAGGATTATTATTATTATTATTAACTCCAGGTCTCCGATGTTCTATCAGCTTGTCTGGCAGACATCAGGGCCTGGATGAGTGTAAACTTCCTGCAGCTGAATATGGACAAGACGGAAGCCATACTCCTTGGCTTCCATCAACGTCTTCACTCCTGCGGATCTAAACTCCCCAACCTCCCTGGGCTCCCCCTCAGACTCACCGAACCAGTGCACAACCTGGCAATCCCAAGCTGTCCTTCCCCCCCCACAACGATATCCGGATCCTGACAAGGACTGCCTTCTTCCACCTCCGCCACAATGCCCGCCTCCGACCGTACCTTACTCCAAATGCAGCCAATACCCTTGTGCATTTGTCACCTCCCACCACACACTCCTCGCTGGTCTCCCCAGCTCCACCATTCACAAGATCAGCTCATTCAAAGCTCCGTCCCCACACCTCACCAGTTCCGGTCAGGCTCCACTGGCTTCCCATCACCGAACGGATTGACTTCAAGATCCGCACTCTTGTGTTCAAATCCATTTACTCCCTGGAACCTCCCTCCTCTCTGACCTCCTCATTCCCCAATCCACCACCCAGCACCTCCGCTTGACTGGCCTTTGGAACTCTGTCCCACAATCCCTTAGCCTCGCTCCCTCCCTTGCCTCCATCAAGGCACTTCGCAAGACTCTCCTCTCCTACCATGCTTTTGGCCACACTCCTACCCTCCCTGCCACTCCCCCCCCCCCCCCCCCCCACCACGCTCGGGTCCAAATCCTGACTGTTCAGCGGGTTGGGATGTCTTCCCGACGTAAAAGGCACTGAACAAATGTAATTTTGTATTGTATAAAGTCAATGGTAGGATTATAGGCACACTGCAGAGCCCTAGTGCTGTAGACCACTATTTTACTTTTACAGTATATATAATCCTTGCATTTGACAAAGCGCTTTTCACAACTTCTCGACGTCTCAAAGCGCTTCACAGAACACACTGTAAAGTGAATTGACTGTATATTTGTGGGCGAACGCGGCAGCCAATTGCACACAGCGATGTCCCACAAACAGTCGTGGATTGAAATGACCCAATTTATTATTGTTTTGGTTTTGGAGGGATTATTATTAGGCTCTGTGTGGAGTAAGGAAACTTGCCCAAGGTCTCGCCCTCTGCCGGGAATCGAACCCAGGACAATTTTTGTGTGCATTTTACATCTTTTTTCAGTAATAAAAATAATTCTTGGACTTAAGAGCAGCGATTCTGAGAATAGTTAAGGGGAAGAAATGCTGAGCTCTGCTTTGCTGCCTTTCCAGACTGTCCCGTGTAAAAGGCTGACGATGCCCAGCAGATGGGGCACCACATCAACACATAATGGTGAGAAAGCACTGATCGCCTTCAACTGAACTCCCACTTGTAGGACTCAATCTTTACACAGATGAACTGATACCATCCGCCGGTCTGTACAGTGCGCAGTGTAAGGAAACAGCCTTTGTTGCACTCGGTAACACCAACAATACATTACACTTTTTTTATAGGTTCCTTCACATTGGAAAGATGTCCCGTTTTACACACACACAGCGAAACAAAGGGGTCTGAACAGCACTGACGAATTCTGAAATGGAATTTTTTTACACTATAGCAGAGTCCTGACTCCCGGAGGAGGAGATGTCAGTGGGTCTCGTTGGAGCTGAACCGGTTCCGAGGTGACATGTTTGGCCCCGGAATGTCAGCCCTCCCCGGCACTGTGCAGTCGGGTCCTCACCCCGGGGGGGGGGGAGCCCGGGGGGGGGGAGCCCCGGGGAGGGGGGGAGCCCCGGGGGGGGGGGAGCCCCGGGGGGGGGGGAGCCCCGGGGGGGGGGAGCCCGGGGGAGGGGGGAGCCCCGGGGGGGGGGAGCCCCGGGGGGGGGGGAGCCCCGGGGGGGGGGGAGCCCGGGGGGGGAGCCCCGGGGGGGGGAGCCCGGGGGGGGGGAGCCCCGGGGGGGGGAGCCCCGGGGGGGGGGAGCCCCGGGGGGGGGGAGCCCGGGGGGGGGGGGAGCCCGGGGGGGGGGGGGGAGCCCCGGGGGGGGGGAGCCCCGGGGGGGGGGGGGGAGCCCCGGGGGGGGGGGGGGGGAGCCCCGGGGGGGGGGGGGGGGAGCCCCGGGGGGGGGGGGGGGAGCCCCGGGGGGGGGGGGGGGAGCCCCGGGGGGGGGGGGGGGGAGCCCCGGGGGGGGGGGGGGGAGGAGATGACAGTCCAGTGCAGTCCGCGCAGCCGCAGTGCTGCTGTGAGTGCAGCGCTGCGGAGCGCGAGGCGGTCTGTGCGCAGTTCGCTGTGTGCGGATCCCCGCGCTGTCCGCTCCCGCACTGCTCCGCTCCGCACTCCTCCCGCACTCCTCCCGCACTGCTCCGCACTCCTCCCGCACTCCTCCCGCACTGCTCCCGCCGCCTGATTCCTGGACAAGTTTTTGCACAAACTCCGAAGAGACGAACTGAACTGCAGCTGAATTTCAGATTTGAAACAATGCGGAAACTGCCGCTCATAGCGCTGTGTATCTGTGTCCTGTCCGGAGCCGTCACTGCAGCCACTCAGGTAACCGTCTGTGTCTGTGTCTGTGTCTGTCTGCACCGGTGACAGGCAGACTGGGGGTGATGGTGACAGGCAGACTGGGGGTGATGGTGACAGGCAGACTGGGGGTGATGGTGACAGGCAGACTGGGGGTGATGGTGACAGGCAGACTGGGGGTGATGGTGACAGGCAGACTGGGGGTGATGGTGACAGGCAGACTGGGGGTGATGGTGACAGGCAGACTGGGGGTGATGGTGACAGGCAGACTGGGGGTGATGGTGACAGGCAGACTGGGGGTGATGGTGACAGGCAGACTGGGGGTGATGGTGACAGGCAGACTGGGGGTGATGGTGACAGGCAGACTGGGGGTGATGGTGACAGGCAGACTGGGGGTGATGGTGACAGGCAGACTGTGCTGGTGTTTGGGAGCTGTCTCACTGATGTCAGCTGTCGGCAGTCAGAGCTACAGCTCGAATCCCTCCAATCTAACAGCTGAGCTTCTGTGGTTTAAACTCTCAGCTCAGTAACTCCGCCGTTCCGACAATATTTCTGCCAAACTTTTTTTTAATACATATCTGTGGCTTATCCAGCGTTCAAACAGATGCGATTTGAGGGATTGGCTTGAATTGTTTTTGGCTCCGAGCGGATCAGGGTCTGTTGACATTCCAGCTCTTCCTCATTCCAGTTGTTGAGCGAGGACATCCTTTTATGTCCAAATCCTTTGGTCGTTTATAAATAATAAGGAATAAATCTCATTTGGACAAAAAACAGTAAAATAGGGTTTGGGTCCATGCAGTACTGGAGTATGTTCTTAATCGCAATGGCATCCCATCTCAGAGTGCCACGGGGTGAGCTGGTGAGACAGGATCTGCCAACAGACATCTATGGAGGTGAACATAAAGCGAAGCCGATCAATGGCTGAGTGTTCCCGACTCAAGGTGCCAACGCTCTGGGTCCAACCCACAGCAACACCTTCCCTCAGGGCGGGGAAGCTATCGGGTGTTATATATATATATATATATGAGCCCAAGAGGGTGAGTGGTTAAATGACTATGGTCTTTTATGGCGCCATTTAGAAATAAGCATATTTACTGTCCTTACACAACTCCTGTGGACAAACACACGTCACCATCTCCAGTCCACACACTGCCCATTGAGGGAATCGCACATGGCTGAGGGCGGCCACACCAATGGCGGTGCTCTGGGCCGGGCTCTGGGCCGGGCTCTGGGCCGGGCTCTGGGCCGGGCTCTGGGCCGGGCTCTGGGCCGGGCTCTGGGCCGGGCTCTGGGCCGGGCTCTGGGCCGGGCTCTGGGCCGGGCTCTGGGCCGGGCTCTGGGCCGGGCTCTGGGCCGGGCTCTGGGCCGGGCTCTGGGCCGGGCTCTGGGCCGGGCTCTGGGCCGGGGACAGACAGGGCACACGGTCACATCAGAAGGAAAGCAATGATCGAAGTGAGACTGTGATGTTATAGGGGTTTGGCGCTCTGACGCGGCTGTCGAACTAAAACGAGACAGTAAAGAGATTTAACCAATCTACTCCCACCTGACGTTGCCCTGTGTGACAATTAAAAGAGAACTAGAAACATTTCCGATAATTATATTCCAAAGTCTCACATCAAACACACAATCTCACTGATTCTTTCTCCAAGGCAGCAGAAATGGAGAGAACAGAACAACAACAAGTACATTTGTATGCATCTTCTTCTAGTAATTTGAAACACTCTTTACCAACTAAAATTCAAATTCCAGAACTGTCCAGTGTCTTGGGACGTCCTCCCGACATGAAAAGCAATGTGTAAATGCAATTTGTTGTTGTTAAAACTTATGCCAATAATTCTCGGATTTTATGTATGGGTAAAATGTACTCTGCTCAGTAAACTCCGAATGCGCCTATTGTGGGTAATGGTCCCTTGAAAATCTATCCATTTTCTTTAATAGAAGTTTTCAAAATTATGAGGGGATTCAGTAGGGTGAACAAGGAGAAATTATTTCCGCTGGCGGGTGGGTCGGTAACCTAAGGACACTGATTTAAAATAGTTGCTAAAAGAAACAGCGAATTGTTGGGATCTTGGGATCATTGCCTGAAAGGCTGGTGGAAGCCAATTCGATAACAACATTTAAGAGAGAAGTAGATAATTATTTGGGGAGGACAAGTTTGCAGGGCTATGGGGAGAGAGCGGGGTTGAATTGGGTAGCTCTTTTCAAAGAGCTGACACAGACATGATGGGCTGAAAGACCTCCTTCTGTATAATTCTATGAATCTATGAGATGAATAGAACTACTTCAGTAAGTCCATCTCCTTCAAGATCTTTAAGAAAAAAAAGTGATGCAATAGGAGTCATCTTAAAATGAATGTAGATATAATCACTTAACGTTGCTGTGTAACCGAGAACATTGGCAACACGAGACAAAAGAGATTTAGGGTCTAGGTCTTATCAGAATTTCAATCATCTTTTAGCAGCATTGACAGGTTTAGGGGTTATTTCGCAGGTTACGCTTTCTTCAATTTAGAGATTGAATTTCAGGAATAGGATCATTTTTCTTTTCATAAAAAATGTAATGCATATCTCATCGCTGGATTGAAAGAGTTATTGAGTCCAACAATGTGAGGGAACGGGATTAATATATCATATCCTACCTTTAATTCAGAATTGATTCCGCTTTGACCTTAATTGAAACCCTTCACACTCTTGGGCTAAGCCAAGGAAGGCGGTTCAAACAAAGCATTGAGGCAGGGCAGAATAAAAGTTTATTAAACTGGATGCAATTACAGTATTTGCAATGGTTATTCTTTAAAACAGGAATACCGACGAGAATATTCACGTAAAAGCTCTCTTCAATGTGATTCTTTCAAGGATGTCTTATCCAGTGCAGCAGTGCAATGCTTTCATGTACTGTATCATCATGATCCTGACAAACTCTCTCTGAATCCCAAACTGTATTGGCCTCTGAATCAGATGGAGGGGAATCATTTGCAGCTAATTGTCCAGGTACAATCTGTGTTGGAGGTGTGGCAACAAAAAAGGAGGAAATTCAGGAGGGAATTTGGCCACACCTAACCCTGAACTGTTATTAATGTATGTCAGGGGCAGCTCAGATGTGCTGGCACTTTTTCAATATGGGATGCACAATAGATCTTTGTGTTTTATTGCACAGCTGTTTGGGGAAGTAGAGCCTGTTCGGACGGTGTCAGAGGGCTCTGACTGTCGCTGTAAGTGTATCATGCGGCCCCTGAGCCAGAACGCCTGCAGCCACGTCAGGAGCGGCACTATACGTGTTGAGGACTTTTACTCTGTGGAGACGGTGAGCTCCGGGACGGACTGTAAGTGTACCTGCATAGCACCCTCGGCCTCTCTCAACCCCTGTGAGAACCAGTGGAAGATGGAAAAGCTGAGAAAACAAGCTCCAGAGTTTTTTAAGGTACAGAGACACACAAAGCCAGCCTTAAGCCATCTTATGGAATGGAGGAATAGGTTCAATGGGCTGAATAGACCACCCCTGTTCCTATGTTCCAGGGAGATGCCTGCTATAGGTATAAAGCTCAGAGGTTTCCACTCCCCCAATTAATGGAGTCTAATTAGGGATGTGAAAAGGGTGGGGCACTGGGAGCGATCAGTGACTAGGAAAGTGTTTGTTTCGATGGCATTTTGCCATGTTAACTACCAGCCAGAAACCAGTTGAAAGTGGTAACAATATGCAAAACAATTTGCAAGAAATCATACAGTAAAAAAGATACTGTATTTCTCTTTCAGTTCCTGAGATGTGGAAACACTTGTGGTAAACAAGATAATAGTATACAACTTTTTTTTGAACAATGGTCCGAGCAGTGAGGCGTGAATCTTAAAGCAATACAGTACATCTGTACTATTGTTACCCAGTTCTTTCTAACTCTGCTTTCTGCTTTCCCTACAGTTACAGTCACTGGTTAATCTACTGGAAGGAACCTTGTACAGTATTGATATGATGAAAGTTCACTCCTATATACGCAGAGTGATGTCACAGATGAACAATCTTGAGGAGGTGAAATAACACAAATTAAATTTTCCTGCATTTAAATTGCATGAAAATCTCTTCTCACCACTAAGTGGGACGTGGAAGTATTCTTCACTTAATTTAACCTGCAGTTTGAGCTTCATAACCCAGTTGGGTTTGAAGTTAAAGATTCAGTTAACAGATCCACCTGCCACGTTCACCTACAAAATACAGTGACATTACACTGAGTCCTGGGAAGCACTTTACATAAGAACATAAGAATTAGGAGCAGGAGTAGGCCATTCGGCCCCTCGAGCCTGCACCGCCATTCAATAAGATCATGGCTGATCTATTCTAACTCCACCTACCAGCCTTATCCCCATATCCCTTAATCCCTTTATCCACAAGAAATCTATCAATCTCAGTCTTGAATATTTTCAAGGACTGAGCATTTACAGCCCTTTGGGGTAGAGAATTCCATAAATTCACTACCCTCTGAGTGAAGAAGTTTTTCCTCAACTCAGTGCGAAAGGGTTTACCCTGAATTTTAAGACTGTGACCCCTGGTTATAGTTTCTCCAACCAGGAGAAAAAGTCTCCCACTATCTATTCTGTCGTGCCCTTTAATAATCTTATAGGTTTCTATAAGATCACCTCTCATTCTTCTATATTCTAGAGAATATAGACCTAAATTGCTCAACCTATTCATTCATGGTTTTCTTGGATTTGCTACGTTTCGTTCTTCTTACAGGGATGTATGTCCATCTTTACGTGACAGACTGGATTAAATGGCCGCTTTGTGTTTCAGACCATCAAATCAAACCTGACCAGAGACAATGAGTTCATGAAGGAGAGTGTTCAGAACCTCACGATGCAGCTGAAGCGATATGAAAACTATTCGGACATTCTGCTGAGTGTCAAGAAGGAGGTCTCCAAGCTGGGGCTGCAGCTCCTGCAAAAGGATGCGGCTGTGGCTGACATCAAACAGCAGGTAGCAAGTACCTGAGACAGACCTTGCAGCCACTTGGCCCCAAAACTCTTGAATACTCTTACTCTATCCCTCCACCTTTCCCCTTCCTTCTCCGTATTCAATCGTGCCTGAAGACCTTCCTCTTCGACTATGCCTACGGTCACCTTCTCCCTCCCCCACGGCTTGGCATCGTGCTCCACCACTGTCAAGCGCTCTGGGACGCTACCCTGTGTGACAGGAGCTATGTAAATGCAAGTTGTTGTATTAGATCTTTAAAGGGGTTATGTTATTCTGAACGTTTTGTTGATCTCGCCCAGGTTTTCCAACACTAAAACCGGATGCGCTTTATTTTCAGCATACCTCCGGAATGATCGACAAGGCTGGAAAGAAATATTCAAATAAAGCCCAGGACAAGAAAAAATCTGCCCCAAGGAAAACTGCTCTTAAGGTCCTGAGAGAAAAACCTAAAGCAAAGAAGTTGGTCCCCAAAGTGAGAGTGTCCCAACCCACGCCCAGGCCCCGGGCTAGCTTTCAGCAGCCTGCCATTGTCAAAAGCATCACCTACTACAAAGCAGGCAGAACGGAGCATGCAGAAAACAGTGGCAACAAGAGTAAGTTGGGGAGAGGAACAACCCTTCTCATTTTTATACAACTTATTTCGAATTCAAGATCCTCATCCTCACCTACAAGACCATTCACGGCCTCGCTCCCTCCTGCCTCTCTGACCTACTATTCCCCTACTTACCCCCCGTACCCTCCGTTCCTCTGGCTCTGGTCTGCTCCACATCCCCCGCCCCAACCGCCCTACCATCGGTGGCCGGGCCTTCAGCCTCTCAGCCCCGAGGCTCTGGAACTCTATCCCCCAGTGCCTTCGCCGCCTCCTCCCTTTCCTCCTTCAAGGCCGGTCTCAAGACCTTTCTCTTTGACCTTCAGCTTTCAGCTCCCCTCTCGACTCTCTACCCCCTCCTCGCTCCCTCCCTTCCCTCCCCTCACCCTGACCATTTCCCCCCCAATGCTCGGGTCCTGACCCAACTGTACAGCGCCTTGGGACGTCCTCCCGATGTGAAAGGCGCTCTATAAATGGAATCTTGTTGTTGTTGTTATTTTAACTATAAATCAGCCAGTATGCTGAATTATGCTCCACATAAAAGATGGTGGTAATCAGCAGGGTTTTAGCTGTGATTCCATGCCAAATGTACAGCATAAATGGGGTTCAGGCAGCAGCAATCAGCCTAATATGGCTGATTAGCACTGCAAAAGGCCAAGGCCAAGGCATTCCAAAGCACCTCGCAATCTTAAGTCAACAAAGAGGGATCAGTTTATCTGACGTACGACTTGATTCAGTTCCCCAAGGCAAAATAATTACCTCGTGAACCATCAAGTTCCTAATTTCAGAGTTTAAAAGTAAAGATTGATGTATGGTGCTATGCAAAAGTAACATTTCATAAGGATACATTAAAAGAAACCCCAATACAAATGGAAACATTAAAGAACCCGAATTGGCATCTTTGAGGAATGAGACCATGAAACGGGATAAGACACGTCAGTTGTAAATACCAGCCAACCTTTTTGTTACATGTTTGATTTGAGCCAAAATAGTTGGTATTTTCAAATTAAAAATCAAAGAATGGGTCTGAGATGATGTCTGAACAAGAAATCCTCTGCAACCTTTGCATCATTCCACATGTGACACTTTTGAAGTGAAACAAGGTGTGTTTAATAATAATAATAATAATAATCCTTGCATTTGATATAGCGCTTTTCACGTCGGGAGGACGTCCCAAAGCGCTTCACAGAACACACTGTAAAGTGAATTGACTGTATATTTGTGGGCAAACGCGGCAGCCAATTGCGCACAGCAATGTCCCACAAACAGTCGTAGATTGAAAATGACCAATTTATTATTGTTTTTGGTTTTGGAGGGATTATTATTAGGCGTGTGGAGTAAGGAAACTTGCCCAAGGTTTCGCCCTGCCTGGAATTGAACTCAGGTCTCTTGCTTGCAAAGCGAGTGCTCTAACCACTGAGCTACAGGACTGTTTAAATCCTGCTTTCAGATAATACATCCAAGGGGATTTTACACTCTGAGGAACAGGAGTCAAGAGCTGCAGAAAATGCTCACATTGCACAGGAATCCTCTGATGTAGGCAGATTCTCAGAGAGTGTAACAAAACCATCCCCTGCCACCACTACCACTGCACCCACTGAGGCGACCATATCAACTTCTGCCACGATCAACAGGGAACCAACCATGTGGCCAACGGGAACAAGGAAAAGTAAGGTTTATATTCAACTTTTATTGATCTCAACACAAAATCAACCTTTTAATTTGTTACAATTAACCTATGTCTGTCTGCAACTGAAGTCAGTAAAGCACCTGAGTCTCAGTAAGAACAGATTTACTAATCGCTAAAGATCGCCTGAATCCTGAAAAAGAGAAGAAAGTTTCTCTCAGTGTCCTGGCTAACAAGCCTCTAGATGAATTGAACATTAACGTTCAACTTTTCACTGTTTGAGGGATCTTCCTATGTGCAAAATGGCTTCTATGTTTGTGTAAAATAATATAACATTGACAGTAAATACCTGTTGAGGGATTTAAAGCATGATAAGATGCTATAAAATGAAAGAAATGGCAATAGAAGATGCATCTTACACTCAAACTCTTCCCTCCTTCCTGAAGTTAAAGAAGCTCAGTGCGATGGCACTCTGTCAATGATTGAACCTCCTGAAAAACATCACAGTTACGGTCGCAATGAGGGGGCCTGGATGAAAGATCCAGTTGCTAAAGACGACAGGATCTATGTGACAAACTATTACTACGGAAATAACCTGGTAGAGTTCAGGAACCTCGAAAACTTTAAACAAGGTGAGGCACAATACAACATAAATTTACATTTATTTCGCCCCTTTCACATTGGGAGGATATCCCAAAGCGCTTAACAGTACTGGCTGGCCACCAAGCTGTGGCAAGAGAAGGTGGTTAGACAGCAACCAAAGAGCAATGGAGAAATTCTGTCAGGAGATGTGTCGGGCTCAGTAAACATGGTCTGTAGGTGTGCTGGTGATGAGGCAAAGGTGTGTAATGATCCACACTGAGTGATATTGGAGTCGCCCAAGTCCTTGCTTTAATCTGATCACGTGTGGAATGGTTGCAATATTGGAAAGGAGTATATATATTTTTTCTGGACCGATATGAGTATTTTAGTGCAATTATCAGTTATTGTGAACATAATTACTTTGAGAAAATATACAGAATGAGATTAGCCCAGTACCTTCAATATCTAGTACCTGCCCCTCCCTCTACATTGTCTTGTTTTGCTGCAGGTCGTTGGAGTAACCTCTACAAGCTCCCATACAACTGGATTGGAACAGGCCATGTTGTTTACAATGGGTCATTCTATTATAACAGGGCTTTCACTAGAAATATCATTAAATACGACATTAAACAACGGTTCGTAGCAGCCTGGACCCTTCTTCATGATGTCGTCTATGAAGACACAACACCATGGAAATGGCGAGGACATTCGGACATTGACTTTGCTGTTGATGAGAGTGGCCTCTGGGTTATTTACCCTGCCTTTGATTATGACAACTCCCAGAATGAAGTCATAGTCATTAGCAAACTGGATCCCATTGATCTTTCCATCAAGAAGGAGACAACTTGGAAAACGGGCCTCAAGCGCAACTCATATGGCAACTGTTTCATCATTTGTGGTGTTTTGTATGCAGTGGACACCTACAACCAGAGAGAAGGCCACCTCTCTTATGCATATGATACTCACACAGACACTGAAGCAGATCCCAGGTTACCGTTCATCAATGAATACACCTACACTACACAAATCGACTACAATCCTAAGGAAAAAGTTCTATATGCGTGGGATAATGGTCATCAGGTCACCTACGCAATTAGCTTTGCATTGTGACTTTGTAAAGAAACCCATCCCATCACACAGCACTTTTAAATTTGTCTTGTGTTCATTATTTACAAAGATTGGGGAATTTTGCACTTGGGTTAGCTGAAAAATTTATATGGACGAAATATCTTTTACATCTCTTGCTCTACGTGAGTCAATAACTAATAATGGTTTATAAAAATGTACGAGGATTTATTACAGGTTTTCCAGAGAAATGCCATGTAAGCTGCAAACATATTTCTTTTTTATTTCATTCCACTCAATTTGAAATAATTTTCATTTCATAATCTAGTATTTACTAGCAAATGACAAATGGACAGAACAAGCCCAACTTTAACAGATGTCAGTGAGGAGGACACCTGATCCCCATTCCTTCAGACCTGTCAGATTGGGCACTTTCAGCACTGTGCTCCAGAGTTAAAATCATAATAATCTTTGCATTTGATATAGTGCCTTTCACATTGCAAAAATGTCTCAAAATGGTTCACAGAATATACTGTAAAGTTAATTGATTATATTTTGTGGGCGAAACGGAGCAGCCAAATGCGCACAGCAGATATACTTATAGTGCAATTACTAAGTACTTTGTAGATGATAGCAGCAATCAACTTGTGCATAGTAATGTGCCATTAGCAGCCATGAAAGTGAATGACCAATTTTAATGACTTAGTTGATTTATTTGCATTCATATCAAGATTTAAGTGATTTGATCACATCTCTAAAGAAATTAGGCATATTTGACAAACCATCTTTCTTCAAAGTTGTGCAAAGCCTTGTAACAGTTCGGAAACGACGATCACTCGCAAAATTTACAAAAATTTACAAAATCACGATTCCAGGTTTACTACTGTGCAGTGCCTTAACCTATAATGTTAGTGATCTATCTGTCATGTAGTTAACTGGATAACCTGAATAACAGTCCTCACCTAAATGCTTCCTGTACATTAAGAAATCTACACAATCATACATCATTGTGAAATCCCCTCCAATTAACATTGTAAAAAAGGTTTGATGGAGGTCACAGAGCTGTAACAACCAGAATGGATTCAAATGTAACACAATATTTTGTTTTTAACTTTTATGATATAAATTAGATGATGGAAATCTATAGCAGGTTAATAGAAAGAGAAAAATAAGTTAATCTTTTGAGTAAAATAAACTTTTTGATCGATGTTTGTTATTTGTGGTGTTGTACCATTACAATAAGGCATCCTACCTAAAATATTAACTGACCTTACTCTTTCACATACGCTCAAATATACAACCATTCAGTTTCCAAACCAGCGCAACCAAATCATCATCAGCAGCAAGTTGTGTTCAATATGCAGGTGACAAACAACTCATAATGCTTACATCTAAACTGTCAATGACGTGGCTCAATGACAATTGTGTGATGGTTAACAATGTTCATGTCACGTGCCTCATATCAAATAAACTATTGTAATATTTTCCAAGCATTGGTGCAAAATATTTTTGCCAATGCCAATTTTAGTGGCTCCTTTTGTTCAGAGTAATGAAAGCTTTTCAGTCACTGGAGCATTCGTTTGACGGGAATATTAATCTATTATTTTTTCTGGTTTGTTGAAACTTCACAGCTCTAATCCTCACTAAGACTGAAATAATTCCTAGTCACTGGAGCAACAATTCAACTCTGCTTCACCACATACCATCTTAGTATCTAGAGGACAAGTGAAAAGTCCCACACTCAGCCAACAATAAGGGCTTTATTGATCTCACAAACCAAAAATTAACAGCATTTGGAAGGTTGCGAGAAGAAACTATTCTCTAGGATCTCGGGAGGTAGTGTCCCGTTCCAACCTGTAAGTTTTCAAGGAAATAAAGCAACCACATTGTCCTTGTGATCACTGATGATGGTTATGCCATCACATACTACATTTCCCTCCCCCAGCTACAGTCATAGATTTCCACATTGTATTTAATATCTAAGCTGTATATTTTCTCTTAAATTACAAACCTAACCCCTTGTTATATTGCAACCATTCTAAGTTGAAGCGAGCAAACGATTTCCCTTCGCAAATAATGGAATTTTTCAACATTTTTCTTAAATTTAAATTGCTCTAATCAGATTCTTTTTTGTATTTGTCACTTTTACTGTCTTTACAACAACAGAGTCAGAACTGGCATCACAAGATGGAGGAAATTGCTCTCAATAGGAGTAACCCCATTTGATTTCAAAAGTGACCTGCACAGGCAGTCACAATCTTCTAACCCTGGTGTGAATTTCTGGAGGAAAAGTGGCTATGCTCTTTTAAACACACAAACACAAGCTCTTTTATCTAGCCACCAGTATTTGCGCTTCCCCAATTAATCTAAATTGGGCTGCTTTCTTGACAATACAATAAGGGTGTCACTTTATTGTTATTTGCATTGACATGTTTTTGCATTGACATGTTATCCTCCTCCACAGCAGAAAAGGATATAACAATTCACTCCAAAAATCAAAGCCTCTGACCTTGGTATTATTAAATAGTTAGCATTCAAAGCAATGTACAGGATTTTACTATGAAGTAGTAAAAGTCTATTTGTAGGCAGTAGTCAATGAATGTACATGAATGCCCCACAACAACAACTTGGATTTATATAGCACCCTCCACGCCAGATGGTGTCTCAGAGTGCTTCACGGTAACGGATTCCGGGGCCGAGCCGGGGGGAGGGGGAGGAAGGTGACCAAAGGCGCGGTCGAAAAGAAAGGTCTTCAGCCGAGACCTGAAAATAGGAAGAGAGGGGGCGAGGCGAAGGGAGTGAGGAAGGGAGTTCCAGAGCCCAGAGAGGTAGTGGCTGAAAGCACAGCTCCCGAGGATGGAGCGGAGGACTCGGGGGACAAGGAAGAGGCCAGAACTGGTGGAACGAATGCAACAGGCACTGTTTTGAGGAGAGAGGTCAGAAAGGTAGGGGGGTGCAGAGAATTGGAAGGATTTGAAGACAAGGGTGAGGATCTTGAAGTCGATCCTCTCTGGGACGGGCAGCCAGTGCAGTCTGGCAAGGACTGGGGTAATCGGGGACCGGAGTTTGGTGCGGGTAAGAATGCGGGCGACAGAGTTTTGGATGACCTGGATTTTATGGATGGTAGTGGAGGGGAGACCGGTGAGGAGGGTGTTTGAATAGTCCAGCCGAGAGGTGACAAAGGCATGGACCAGGGTTTCAGCGGCTTTTGGAGTGAAGTATTGGCGGAGATGGGCGATGAGTCGGAGGTGGAAGAAAGCAGTGCTGGTGAGAGACCAGATGTGGGGGAGGAAGGATAATTGGGGGTCAAACCTGATGCCTAGGTTGCGTACGGATTCGGAGAGTTTTAGGGGAGGTCGGGTAGGTGGAGGAGGTGAGAGCCACAAACAGTCATGAAGTCAGTGACCAATTTTTATCTAGAGGATTGTTGGCCCAGGCACTGGGAGAAACTCACTTCTCTTTCCAAATACTGTAGTGTCCCATTCTTTCACATTCACCTGAACAGAAAGACAGAACCTTTGGTTTAATGCCTCATCTGACGAGGCAGCACTCCCGCAGCACGGCACTGGAGAAATTTAACAGCAGCTCCACATCGCAACCATAATTGGAAATGGGATTTAAAAGTCTTTAATAAGAACATGGGACACGTTTGCGGGTCTGAATTCCCTTCTTCTGTGCTGTAGTTCTGTGAACAATGGTTCTATGGTTCTAAAAGGAGTCAGGGCAGGTCAACAGGCATTTCATTTTTATTATTTTCTGAACCAAACAAGGTAATGGTATCCAGCATCTGCAGTATTTTGCGTTTTGAAGGTAATAGTATTGGTCTCTTTTGAAATTAATTAAATTCATGAGGAGACTTTCATGTAGAGGTTCTCCATTCCACTGAATGTAGAACGATCAGCACTGGGTCAAAATAATATTGATTTTTGGATTAAAGTGAACCATCTGCCTACAATCTAAACATCTTCCTGGCACTAAACAAACCCTGGACTAAGTTTCCAGGCAGAAAAACAACAGAAATTGTGCAAAATTATGAAACAACAGTCACACAAAACAAACCATTAATCCCCTCTGGCTCAATGGTGTCTATTCCTAATTCAACACTAGTTGCTTCCTGTTTCTGCTACAGGCACTGGCCCAAGATGCCATGTAAACATATTGTCTATGCTGATGGAAGATACCCAGAGGAAACAGTTTGTATTGGGTATTTAATTGTAAAAGGGCTTTTGTACACTTTTACTGTGTATAAGATTTGTAAATCAATTAGCAAACAGAAAAGCAGAAAAGTATGTAGAGCGGGATGTATGAAAGTAGCAGTCTCCTACGTGTTATCACACGACTGCTCAAGACTCGAGGCTTCTTTGCTTCTATTTGCTTTGATTAACTTGACAAAACTAATTCTTGTTCCAGAGAAGCAGATTTGTTTGTACAAATTCAACAGTTATTGCCTCAGGCTCCCTATAAACCATGAAGCCTCAGCACCTGGCTCGAGTTTGTTTAGTTATTCAAATGTGTGACTGCTGCCTTATAATGGAAAGCTTCTGTGTACAGTTCTTGTCGCTGCGACATAAGGGGACCGTCCTGGCCCTCGAGACAAAGCAAAGGAGACTTCTCGCTGCAGGATTTAGCACAGGCAATTGATTCTCAGAAAATTCTCATTTGAACACGTTAAAAACAAGACGTTGAAAAGATGAAAGGGAAGTACAGTGCAGAATTTTCAGATTCCTAATGTGCAATATAGCAGCTGTCGAAACATGGATTCCCGTGGCATGGATTCTGCCAACTGGAGGGTTGGTCTGTACATCTGTAAGATGGGGTAAGATTTCCCAGGAAAAATAGCTTTGAAGCTGCCAATCAGTTCCCGGACATCCCCGATTTACCCATGTGAGTCATGTCTTGTCAGTGGTCCAGCGGAAACACTGGCCAAAGAAGATTGGATTGCTGCACTGCTCAAGTGCTCACCAGCCATTACACACAGCTTGTATTTCACTCAGATAAGGTCAAGGGTCAATTGACAACAAGTGGTGCCTGGAAAGCCTCGGGTCTCCTGGCAGGATTGACGATGAAACTGGGAAATACAAAGCCATAATACTGGACTGGTCCTGCTGACCTTATCATCAAGCCCTTGTGGCTGCCCTGTACCGGTCAACTTGAAAAAATCAAAGTTTTTTCATATAAAATCCAGGCTTTTGTTGGAAAAATACAATATTCCCAGCTCCCAGGGGAAGTAAAACATGTGCTCACTGAGTAACTAGTAATCAAAACTCAGTTACCCCAACACTTCACAACATGTAATAGTTTATGACATTTTCCATTCTGAACCCAAACAATGTTTACAGTCTGCGAGTTGGCAAATGTCCACAGGTGCCAATTTGCTCAATATGCTATAGTTCTCTGAAGAAATGTCAAATTCCATTGACATTGACTCATTGCCCATTGGTGCAGAGGGGCCGCCTAATCCTTTGTTCTCTGCCATAATGCAACACAATTTAAGTTTGTGATGTGA